AAAAAATTCAAATTTTCTTTTAGTCGATTAGAAAGTTACAGTTAGACATGGAAGAGTTGGGACAAGAAATGGGTGTGGTCACTGACGCCCCTAGAACCCAGGGGGGCAGTTTAGAGTCCGTAGTAAATACATGTACATGTTTAATGGAGTATTTAAAAGAAGTAAGAGAGAAGGAGGGAGGAAGAGTTTATGTATTTTTTAGGCACAGAGACAGTTAAAAGAAGAGAGAACACTGCAAGAGCAATTACTAATGACTGTGGAGGAGCAACAGGGACTCATGGATACCATGGCAATGGTAAACCACGCCCATTAATTAAACAACGGTTAGCCATGACTATAGGACATACTGAAGCTAAGAGAAGAACAAATAAAAATGGAGAAAGAAAATAAAAAGATAAAAGAACAGTATAGCAATTTAGAGGTATTAGAAAAGATAGAGAATTTGTGAATATAATATATATAAAAAACATTGGTGTTGCATTAGCTGGTAGTTTTTGGAGGGAGGAGATTTGGCGAATTTGGCAACTATTAATATTTTGAATCTTTGTATAAGTTCACAGATTTGCTAAATTAAAAATAATTTCTCCCTTCCAAAATCACCAGCCATTATGACGTACATGTACATACATGTCTATATTTCAGGTAAAAGTAAATGAGTTGGAAAGACAAACTAAAGTCCCTCCACAGTTCATGCCCGTAATGATACCAGGACCACGCCCACCAATATCAACCACGCCCACTTACAAATCATCCAATAACTGAACCGAACAAAATATCTTAAATTAATTAAATATCTTAAATGATTGATGAAAAAATATTAATTTAAAGTTTAAAAATTTTCAATGCTGATTGCGGCTACTCAAGAGGCGTGACCATTGCCATGGTAACGCTGTGACTGGACTGTATTGATTGGACGGTCTGTGTGTTCTCAAAAGTCATTAAAGTTGGCTCTGCCCTGATCGGCTCACTCTCGTAGCCTAACCGCCCACGTCTGCCACAACCCCAAGAATACATCCTCCCATCTATAAAAAAAAAATTAATTAATATGGGCGTGGTCTTTGTATAATTTGACACGCCCACCTTTAATAGCAGCAATAGTGAAATTATCTCCGCATGAAATACGAGTGACTGATACTAGCTTTGGTACTACAGCAGGGACTGAATGGGAATGGCCTAACTGACCATACGCGTTGGAACCACTAGTAATACAGTGACCCTTTTCTATAGAAAAGAAAAATATATATTCATGTACATTTTAACATTAATTTTTTGTTATTTTTCCCTTACTATTGATGAATGCTGTGTGGTTGGTTCCAGCTGCAATTGCAGTGACTTCTCCCTCCAAAATTTCAACTTTGCAACGTGTGAAATTTAGGACCCGTTCCATGTGATCCGGGCAATCCGATTGGTCAAAAGTCGAGGATTTCGTAGCCAAAAGACTCCGTGGCTTTGCTCTTGAATCTGATTGGCTGGTTGATGCCGACTCTTTTGTGTTGATTGCTTGAAAGAGTGATGATAAAATACGAGAGGTTTGGGTGAAGTCTGGCGGAGTAGCAGGGGTAGGGGTGGCAACAGAGGTGTGGTCAAGACATAACTTATTGTGCCTGAAAAAATAGCAATAATTTATTCTCATTATTCTATTAGTCTATGCTACAATATTTAATATAATTTTAATGCTTTCTCTTTCTATTTTAGGACAGTGGATTATTCTAACTATTAATGGACAGTGTTGTCTTCTTTACTTCTGTCTCTTTACTCTATAAATCTCTCCCTCTCTCTCCTTACACTATACCTGTTGCTTCCGGTACAAAGTATGTCTCCATTACTAGTCAACAGGATAGAACAATCTGACCCACAAGTGACTGAACTAATGACCTCCTTCCCTCCTCCTCCTCCTTCTCCCCCTCCCTCTTCTCCTTCCACTGGTAATACTTGTTTCGGTTCATTACACGCTAGAGTATCACCAGTACCCAACTGACCTACACAATAATCATTATTATTAAAATTAATACAAGAAATTACATGTACATGTACATGTATTAGAAATGTAATAAAATGGAGGATTCTTTTCTAGTACAGTGCATAAACTTCAACTATTTAATGCACATGTACATGTATTTATGTATTACCATTTTCATTTCTACCCCAACTATGAACAGTATGATCAGCTAATGAAAGGGAGAGAGAGAATGAAAAAATATCGTATTCATTTAAAAACTACCTGTTACTGCAACGACATGATTAGCTCCACATGCCACGTCAATGGTCTCATACTGGAGCATAGCCCGAACCAGTTTAGCCTGTTTATAAAACTAGTATTAACGACCCCCACCCACACATAATTATCACCTTAGGCACGTCGTCATAGTCACCGTGTCCTAGGCAACCGTTTATGCCACTCCCAAATGTCATGAGTATACCTTTATCTGAAAAAAACTCGTCAGACTGGTTTTATGAGTATCCTAATACATGTACCTGTTAAACAAGCAGTGAAGAGGTCACCACAGGAAACCTTTTTGATGACAACACTAGCGGAGAACCCTTCAACCAACTGCGGCTGGAATATGATGGGGTCCTTCACTCTAGCTCTTGAGCTGAGAGAGAATTGAGTAGTACCTCCTAGTGACCCTGACGCCAACTAATAAATAATAAAAAAAAAAAATAATAAAATAATAATAATTAATAAAAATAATAAAATAAAATAATGAAATTAAAAAAATATAAAAAAGTAAAATAAAATAAAATAATAAAAAAATAAATAAAAATAATAAAATTAAAAAAATTAAAAATAATACCATAAAATAATAAAAAATAAAATAAAATAACAAAAAATATAAAATAAAAAATAAATAAAAATAAAAAAATTAAAAAAATTAAAAATAATACCATAAAATAATAAAAAATAAAATAAAATAACAAAAAATATAAAATAAAAAATAAATAAAATAATAAATTTATGTTTGTACAAGTACATGTACATCATTTGGTCCCTACCTCCCAGAAGAGCAGTTTCCCATCATCAGTGATGGCCGCACGGTGAGACCTTCCCACTGAAAGGGAAGTCACTGATTTCTCTGCTGGTTGGGGCAGTATCATCGGAACTGATAGAGAACCACCCCACAGGTAGACTAGGGGCCTCGTACTGGACTGGACTTCCTGTAACAATAATAAATAAATAAAATTAAAAAAAAATAATAATATTATACTAAATTGAACTTCCTATCATAGCAATAAAAAAATTAATAAATCAATAAAAAAATTAATGAAAATAATAATAATATAATAGATCAAACTTCTTATTACAGTAATAAATAAATAAATAAGTAAATAAATAAATAAATAAATAAATGTAAAAATAAATATTTAATAATAATAATACTTTAGTAGCTGCTGGCAGATAAGAATCAACAAAGAAGGACACTTGTCTGTACTTCCCAGGCTGACCATGTCTCGTCTCAAGTGATAAATGTCTCTTCCCAGCTGACTTAGCAGGTCTATAAGAAACCCTAACCTACACCCATCAGTCACATGACACTCACGTGACACAGGGGAGTCTACCCACGTCAGTACCCAAGTTAACAAGAGCGTTGACTATGACTGGGTTGGCCATTATATTCTCAATGTTGGGTCGGTCGTCAGGGTTGCGCTGTAGCATGGCGTGTACGAGAGTGCAGAGAGAGGAGGTGTAGTTATCACTCAATGGCTGGAGGGCATTTGATCCTTGCATGATCTTAAGGACTAAAGCAGGGAAATTCTAAAAATAATAATAATAATAATAAAGTAAATTAATAAACCAGTAATGTAATACTAATAATAATTGATAATAATTAATAGATTATAATTATTACTTACTGGTCCTTCGAATGCTTTTCTTAAAGCTAACAGCTCATAAAGAATGCAGCCAAGAGACCAAATATCCGACTTCTTCCTGTAGACACGCCCCTCACAGATCTCGGGCGATATATAGCAAGGAGTACCAACAACCTAAAGGGGGTGGAGCTTATAATGTATCCGACCAATCGGATTAGTTCTAAAGACCATGTACTATAGTACTGGGTATTTTGTCAAATTTTAGAGCAATTTTATGAAAGATCTAATTTGGTACTGACTGTCTGGGCTGAAGTTATTTTGCTCGATAGGACTTTTGAGATCCCAAAGTCTCCGATCTTTACGACAGTTTTCTTCTTGTTAAGCATGATGTTCTGAGGCTTGAGGTCACGATGGAGTATGTTTAATGAATGGACGTGTTCAATGGCAACAAGGATCTGGACGAATAACTGTAGGATGGTCTAAAAAATAAAATATAATTAATATAGTAATTACTATTGTTGCAGTTATAAAATTGGATACAATATATCCAAGTTTGTAACAAGTTATGAACATTTTTTTTAAAAGCCAATTTTTGAAAAATACCCAATAACCCAAGGCTATAGCCCATGGTTTTTTCAAAAAATGGCTAAAAAATGACCCCCAATTTTTATTACATTTTCTGATACATATTGATGTTCTTATGCTGTGTAGCAAGTTTGAGCTGATTCTGACTTCAATTTTTCAAGTTATGGCCAATTTAAGAAAATGCCAAAATTCTGAAAAGTACCCAAGGCTATAGTCCATGGTTTTTTCCAAAAAATGGCTAAAAAATGACCCCCAATTTTTATTACATTTTCTGATACATATTGATGTCCTTATGCTATGTAGAAAGTTTGAGCCGATTCCGACTTCAATTTTTCAAGTTATGGCCATTTTAAGAAAATGCCAAAAATCTGAAAAATACCCAAGGCTATAGCCCATGGTTTTAAAAAAAAATTGCTAAAAAATCACCCCAAATTTTTATTACATTTTCTGATACATATTGATGTTCTTATGCTGTGTAGAAAGTTTGAGCCAATTCCGACTTCAATTTTTCAAGTTACAGCCATTTTAAGAAAATGCCAAAATTCTGAAAAATACCCAAGGCTATAACCCATGGTTTTTTCCAAAAAATGGCTCTGAAATCACCCCAAATTTTTATTACATTTTCAGATACATATTGATGTACTTATACTATGTAGCAAGTTTGAGCTGATTCAGACAAATAATTTTCAAGTTATGACCATTTAAAAAATCTATCTTCCAAAAAGTATACACATTTACATGTACATTAAGCACATAATGCATTATCATCATCATCATTATTACATTTCCCCTCACCTCTTCTTCAATATGCTTCCCATTCCTCTCCTGTATCAGCTCATAGAGTGTACCACCTGGTGCGTACTCCATTGCTATCATTAGCGACTTATCCTCCACAAAAGACGCGTAATACCCGATAATGTTCGGATGCTGTAGCATCGAGAGAACATTCACTTCATTCATGGCCGACTTCCTTTCCTCCGAAGGAAGCTCATCGACCGGTATCTGCTTTATGACCACGTGGTTGTTGTTACCAAGGTTCTTGCAAAGAAACACCTTTCTATTAAATTTAATAAATACATGTACATGTACATGTACATTAAATTATTATTTTTAGTTTATTTCTTACCCAAAAGCTCCTTGACCTATGACTCTAATCTTTTCATATCTCTCCATATTCTCGTCTTGTTCTCAGACCTGCTAAAAGGCTCAAATTTCCACTACATTTACTAATTATTTTAACAAAATGCCGCCATCTTTATAGTAAAGGGTTAAAATATTGTAGGTGGAGTCAAGTGTTATTGACGGACGTATCCGGAAGTGTACGAAAGCCACGTGGTACACCATTGAATGGGTTGGGTCTGTTGTCCTGGAAACCAAACAATCCAAGATGGAGGACATGTGTGTCAGATGTCATGTCCTCCTCCAAATTAACAAAGTAAGGATTCCTCTCGCCTTCTTCTCCTTTATCAGTATATTTCAAAGGTGCTGTGGCCGCAGAAAGACTCTCCCTCGCTCTGTCTGAAAGGAGAGCCAGTTTTCATTCAAGTTTGTCTTTTAGGACAACTTCTACAGACAGAACTCTTCTCTCCTGTCTTCCCTCTCTTGATAAACACTACACTAGCATTTGATAGAGTAAATATGATACTTCCTAAGCAATTTTAATTATTAATATAAAGGTATTTACGAATTGTAAAGTGCCTTCCGTTTTGCCTGAAGTTCTTAGAGGTAAAGAAATTTAATAATTAAATTGTAAATTAATAAATAATATTCTTAATAGGTGAACATGTAAAAATAGAGCTAGTTCAAGTCAATGAAAACTACAATGGTAATGAACTAATGCTTGCTGGTAATGCAAGATCTTTCCCTTCTTTAGGTGGTACGATTTCGGGTAGGTACGAGACTTCTGCTTCATCTTTTCTGTTCTCCGATAAAAATGGCTGCGACCCGTTTCAAATAGTCATGGATAAATCCCATTATTATGAAGTAAGCAAATTAAACACATACATGTACATTTATTTGCTATTAATTTTGTCTCCTCTCTCTAGACGTCTCCATTACTCCAGTTGTCTTGTTGCATGAGTTTATTAGAAGCTCGGGTTATATCACCACTCAAAGTCCTAACCCAACCATTCACTGCTAGTGCCACGCCTTCTCCAGCCCCACCCACTCCAGCTCGTCCACCCACGCATCCTTTAGCCACGCCTCCAACCCAACAAATCCTCCCCATTGAATCGTCTCCTCAGCGAAAAGGTCACATATCATTTAACATTGATGCTCATGAGACTCCGCCCATTTTAAAATACAAATCAAATGAGAGAAAGTCACATGATCAATTGAGTAACCACGCCTCTAAATCACGTGACCACGCCCACAAATCACGAGACAATAAATCTCAGAAAAAGCTATTGCAGCCTTCTCTCTCGATTGACGAGTTTGAGAGATCAATGTTAGTTGAGAGGCTAAGATCACAGGATTCCCCAGCCGCAAAAAACCAGTCACACGAGACATCACATGACTCCTCCTTCATGTTCAGCGATCATTCCTGGGAGGCGTGTCCTCGACGAAAACTAACGCCAAAGGAAGGAGACTCGACCAATCAAACTGAAGTACACTCGAAACCTTTCGTGGTACCTCACGCCGACCCATCTCTGTTATCAAAAAGAGAGTTCTGTAGTTGTTCTCCTCAGAAGAAAACCACACCCACTAAGAAGAGACCCAAGTTTAGCTCAACCCCGATCAAGGATTCTATGATTTCGAAATATCTCGGCACGAATCAGCACGGACGCCATAAGAACGTCACGAAACGTGTTCAGGACAAGTTGGACGAGATGATGAAAGATTTGTCCGGAAAGGAGGTGAGCATGTGGTCATTGTCATGTGACTATCATGTGACTTACAATTTCTATTTTTAGAAAGAGGCACATTCAATACAAGATAACGATACTATAAGGTAAATAAAAAATGAAAATAAAGTTTTTAAAAGAAAATATTCGTGTACATGTACATGTACATATTAGGACGTCATTTGCTGCCGAAAGGGATGAAACTCTCTCCCCCTCTCAGTGTCCCTCCACACATAACAACAGGTACCGCCCACTCATTTAATTAACTCATTACTGCCTTTCCCGCCCACACAGTTTATTAGCTAAGCTAGGTTACCGTGACTACTGGTCGTCGAAAGGAAGCGGTAAATCTCATCGACTAGTCTTTGATGAGACATTGGAGAAGATTTATAATAGACTGTATCAAAATTCGTAATAAATAATGATGGAATTAATCAAGAAGTGTCTATATTCTTGATTTTGTAAAAATAAGACTTAATGACAATAATAATAATAATAATAATAATAATAATAATAATAATAATAATAAAACAACAATAATAATGATAATAATGGTACAAGTTCATTCAGTTACTTGCAGGTGAATGCTTGTAATCCTGTTATAGATCGCCCAAGGATTAATGCATGAATATCATGTGTACCTAAAAAAAAATAATAATAATACATTCCTACTCTCTCTCTCTCTCTCTCTCTCTACCTACCTTCATAAGTATTAACAGCTTCAAGGTTCATTACGTGTCTTATTACATGATACTCATCACTGACTCCATTACCTGTAAACAATAATAAATACATTATCTTCTTGAGGCCCCCTCTCTCTTCCTCCTCTTTCTCTCTCTCTCCTTCCCTCCCCCCTCTCTGTCTCTCTCTCTCTTCTTCCTGACCTCCTAGCATGTCTCGTGCTGCTCTTGCAATGTCTAATGCTTTACCACAAGAATTCCTTTTTATCAGCGAAATCATTTCAGGAGGAACTCTAAAGAATGTCCAGGAATTAAAAAAAATAGACAAAATTAAAATACTATCATACTTATTCTCGTCTTTTAGTCTACCAACTTGTAGGCAAGCTTGAAGACCAATTGATATCTATAAACAACAACAAAAACAAAAACAATAATAATAATAACAATAAGGATAATAAGGATATTGATTTAATACCTCTGTTATCATGTCAGCCATTTTCTTTTGGATAAGCTGGTTTGCAGCAAGAGGACGTCCAAACTGCTTCCTTTAAAAGAGAGAGAGAGAGAGGAACAGATTCATGTACATTAAGATAGAGTGAATGCTGTATACCTGTCCAGAGTGTATTGGCGGGCAGTGTGTAGACAGAATTCAGCTGCTCCTAATGCCCCCCAACCAATACCATACCTTGCATTATTGAGACAACCGAATGGTCCCTTGAAATAAAAAAAAACAAAATAATGAAGAATACTATGTATAATGATC